TTTATTACTTTTATATATTTTTTATAAACTAATTAACAGTGTTTTCTTTACATGTCCTCAATTTATCAGAGACTAACAACATCATCAACTGTTTCAATTCCCTCGTTAAACACATATTAAGATATTATTTTTTAATTTTATTATTAATTAGTAACAAAAACTTTGGCATATTCTTCTCTCCGATAGATAATTCGTTATTTAATAGAAAATGGGTACATGTCCCTGGTTTGCAGGAAAAAGTCCCCCCTTACCCTATAAAAAAAGAAAACTAGAATTAGATTAGAGTTGTATATATAAGTGCATTAGGTAATTAATCACAAACCGATAATAATTAATCGATTTTTCAAACTTATCGATCAAAGGTGATAAGAAAGTAAATCAATTCACCTGCGGGAAACCCCTAAACCCATATTAGTGATGATTCCCGTGCATTGTCCCGTAAAAAACTGTTTCCAGTTATCACACTGTTGGGATAGGAACGAGTGGGGATTGAGTACGGATTCTGCAAAAAACTGATAAGACCTCCAATGGCTGCAGAAAGCTACAGTCAAAGTAATAAAAAGAAAAAAAATTACGTATTCGTAAAATGTCTGATGTTAAATATACTTAAAAATGTAGAGATGAATTACAAAGATAGAAGAGTGATACTTAGTTTGTATAAAGAGCAACAGGCAGTTATAGAGCTGGGGATGCAACGTAGAGAAGTAAATATTAGGAAGGGAGTCAGGCAGGGATGCACACTGTCACCGCTACTTTTTAATCTATACATCGAAGACGCCATCAACATCATTAAAGACAGTACAACTGTAGGGATAGANTTGCCCAGAGGGCACCGAATTTTTCGGTTAATTGGGTCATCGGCTACGACAGACCTGAAATAATAAACACTGTGACGGGGAAACCCGAGGTGGGCGTTTCGCGCCTGTGCAAACGCAATTTTTCTAAACGATTTCTGGACGTTTGTTATCGTGTTACAAGCATTGGAAATGTCGACGTACCTATACCCAAAATCTATGCTGATGCCAAGTTAGCAGCCACCCCTTATAATGTAAGTATAATTTGCTTGGGGTGGGTGGACTAATCTCTACATTGTTTTTTGGAAATTTATTTTTAGCAAGCGAAAGAACAATTGTTTAGGGCTTTCAGTAAAGCAAATTTGGGCAGCTGGATAAAAAAACCTTTGGAACAGGATCAGTTTCAAATAGAAGATGATATTTTTTAAATCTTTTATTGAATAGTTTGCTAAGTTTACTTTCTTCGTGTTTCGTGTTCATAGATCTTACAATTAGTACAATTTGTGTTTATGTGATGTACATGGTGACACTTTAGTTAACCTTTTTATCGAACAGTTTGATAAGTTTATTATTTTTTTTTTATTACCTGCTCATAGATCTTGGTACAGTCTGTGCATATGTGATGCATTTGAGTGGTGATATTTTAAAAACAATTTGGATTCCGTTTATTAATCTTTATTGTCTTTCTAATTAACAAGAAACAAAATAAATTGAGTCGAATAAAATAAAATAAAAAAAAAAATCAGTCCTTAATTTATGTGTTGAATCGTTTAATTTAATGTATTTAAATGTTCTCAAGGCAAACAAGATTAACAATGACCGCTAAGGTAAGTAGTATATTAATTTATTTTATATTCGTAATAAAACACGTATGTACCTTCGTGTTAGTTGAAAATAAACAAGTGGCAACCAATTATGCGTTAGAAAGAAACTCGATTGTTATTTTAACAAAAAATCGACTTAAAAATAGTGGGTGATTCCCAAAAAGAAATAATCCTTTGTGGTACGGTGTATAGTGGGTTGCATTTGCGACCCCTTTGGGCTCATGTATTTGCTGTATAACTGTGTATAGGGGGTAAGTACAATTTGCGCTTGTCCGCACCGCATTAAGTAATACAACCTAATTAACTATATTTAAGTAGAGAAAATAACGATAACAAATTCTAATTAAAGTAAAACTAATAAGAAGACACAAACGCTGCTTATTTAATAGAAAAATTGAAATTTGTTGTTTCATTGTCAGTAAATTTAACTTATCTTTAAAATCTAATTTAATCAGTGGCGTGCAACCTCTTTTTTTTAGTTATACGCAACTTTATTTCGTGATTAAACTGCTGAACTTGACTTTTTTTTTATGCTTATGTATTACGGTTTAAAGTCCTGCTTATCACTGAGTCAGCATATAAGCGTATGTACGAACAATAACAAAAACTGCGATAATAAATAAAACGTGCAAACTGCGAGTGCATACAAATTGGCATTATAATTGTTACTATTACAACTATGTTACCGACAGTTATCAAGTAATTTGCATGTATACTGTGTAATTATTGTACATAGCCACAAGTACCAAATGTACTTGGTCATCCCTCCTTATTACGTAACGCAATATAATTAATTATATTTATTATCATTCGCTTAAAAAATTAAGACAATAACATTATTGAAAATTTTATCTGATCAGAGGAAAATGTAAATAAAAAAAGCTGTTTTAGATAAATCCTTTTTCTTTCTTTTGTGAACATTTAAATGATGATTCAAACGTAAGGATTTTGATTAGATAAAACACGTTTGAGGATTGACGCTTTCTAATTTTTGAAATATACTATCTATTGCAGAATTCCCCAAAATTTTGCCAAACCGTTTGATCTTATCATTAAACGATAAAGAACTACCTAACAGTATATATACATATGGTAAACCACATTTGAACTGTCGGTCAGATCGAAATTATCTATTTATGTATGAATGGTCTCGTTACAAATAGTATAATAATAAGTAACAAATAATATTTGAATTAACAGTT